CTATCCCAGAGAGGGAGAGAGTTTCCGAAATAGAGCAAGAGGGTCTCCAAACTGAAAGGGAGAGTCTCTGAGCCGAAAGAAAGAGTCTCTGAACAGAAAGGGAGAGTCTCCAGGAGAGAGTCCAAACCAAGAGAGAAAATCTTCATGACTAGAAAGAGAGTCTCCTAGTTGAGAAACAGTCTCCAAACCAAAAGAGATTGTCTCCGAGCTGAGAGAGAGGATCTCCAGGTTCAGAAAGAGAGTATTCTGGACGAGAAACAGAATCTCCAGACTGAGCAAGAGAGTCTCCACACTGAGAAGAAAATTCTCCAATCTGAGAGAATCTCCAGTCCAAGATAGAGAATCTCCAACCTGAGAGAAGAGATCTCCAACCTGAATGAGACACTCGTCAAAATGAACAAGACAGCTTCCAATCCAAATGAGACACCCTCCAAACCAAGTGAGACTCCCTTCAATACAAACTCAACTGTCTCCATTTCGAATGAGATACCCTCCAATCTGAACAAGAGGCCCTCCAAACCAAGCAAGACACCTTCCAATCCAAGCTTGACAGTCTTCAAGCCAAAAAAGACACCCTCCAATCCAAATTAAACAGTCTCCAAACAAGTAAAACTTCAATCTCAATGAGACACCCTTCTAGCTGAACAAGACATCTTCCTAACCTAACAAGACAGACTCTAAGCTGAGCTGGAGAGAAAGAGCACTGAAAATGATCAACTTGATCAATCACAGGAGGCACCAGAATTGATGTCAGTTGCCCCTGTAACAGGATAGAAAATGATCATCTTATCACCTTATTTAGAATGGAAGAAAGAGGAAGAGGAGAAAGTATAAGACACTGTAAGAAAAGAGGAGGAAAGAAGACAAGAGGAGTGGCTTGGAGATCTAAGAGATCCAGAGAGAGGAACCCCCAGTAGGATCATGGTCACCAATGCCCAGGAGGGCAAGAGCAAGTCCTGAAAGAGTGGGAGGTGAGGAAGACATCATCACCATTACTACTCGACCTCTGAAAAAGACAGAAATTCAAGGTTTGAGAAAAGACTCTTCACGCCACCCATATGAACCCATTGTCACCTGGTTACTTCTATGGCAGAGGGAAAGAAGACCCCTTATTTTTTAAATGAACTGATTAATAGACTTCATGACTCTGAGTTACATTTAACCCCTATATGAGCTTGCATTTCAACCATTTCAAAAGTAACTGAAAGACTGGACAGAGTAGAGAATGATCAAAAAGGTATGATGGACTGTCTACTGTGCTTTAATATGATGGAACTGACGAAACCTGATGGTGGCATCAGAGACACCTGATAGGGATCAAGATTATCAAAACAGCCTACTGGAGGGGCTGATCAAATTAGTTTCCTTCCAACTTGTGTCATACAACATCTCACCTATTAAAAGAGGACATCCTGCTTGAGGAAGTGACAACAGTAAGACTGTGTCACATATTGTCTTGTAGTGTTACCTACATGACCATGGAAAAGATATGAAGAAGTGACTCCAAAAACCCACTCCTGCACTTCAAGCTCAGGAAAAAGAATCACAAGACAGATGAACGCCCAGATGAACTCCTCCGAAAAGGTGATTGTTCCAGTTGCTGTGGGACATGGCAAAAAGCCACGAGGACTCTGATTCATGGCTCACAGGAGAATGATACACTTCTTCTCACAAGAAAAATGATAGAGGTAACAAATACAGGAGTTCTGCCCCTAGCCAGATGGGAAAGGACAGCAGAGTGTATTGGACTGTGTGGATTCGATGGCCTGAAACATCAAAACCACAGAAATATAAGGCACTGGCAGACACTGGTGCACAGTGCACTCTAATGCCATCGAGTCATGAAGAGACAAAATCAATTTATATTTCTGGAGTGACAGGGGATTCCCAAGAGTTGATTTTGTTGGAGGTGGAAATAAGCCTTACTGGTGAAGATCAGCAACAGCATCCTATTATGACTGGCCCAGGAGCTCCCTGTATACTTGGTATTGATTACTACAGAAGGGAACATTTTAAGGATCACAAGGGGTATCCGTGGGTGCTTTGGAATAGCTCCTGTAGATACAGACAGTGTTAATCAGCTGTCTGTTTTACCTGGCCTATCAGAAGATCTGTCAAGTTGCTATGAGTGAAAGAGCAACAGGTACCAATTGCTATAAAAATGGTACACAGATGGCAGTACCACAGTAACAGGGATTCCTTGCTCCCCATTCATAAGTTGATTTGTCAGCTAGAGAGTCAGGCAGTGATAAGCAAAACTCACTCATCTTCTAACAGCCCCATATGGTCATTGTGTAAAGCCAGTAGGGAATGGAGGCTGACAGTAGACTACTGTGACCTAAATCAAGTCACACCACCACTGAGTGCTGCTGTACTAGATGTGCTAGAACTCTAGTATGAATTGGAGTCAAAAGCCATCAAGTGGTATGCCACCACTGACATCGCTAATGCCTTTTTCTCCATTCCTTCAGCCACAGAATGTAGGCCACAATTGGCTTTTACCTGGAGGGGCATTCAATATACCTGGAACTGTTTGCGTCAGGGGTGGAAATATAATCCAACCATTTGCCATGGGTTGATTAGTGATGTGGAAGAAGTACAATTTTATGTGGGGTCCTGAGCAGCAGCAGGCTTTTGACCAAATTAAACAAGAGATAGCCTAAGCCATGGCCATGGGGCCACTACAGAAGGGACAGGATGTAAAGAACACCCTCTACACTACTGCTGGAGAGAAAGGTCCCACTTGGAATCTCAGAAAAGACCCAGGGCCCACCCCTTGGATTCTGGAGTCAAGCATACAGGAGGTCTGAAAAGTGCTATGCTCCAACTAAAAAGGAGATCTTAGCCACATATGATGGGGTTTAAGCTGCTTCTGAAGTAATCAGTAATGAAATGCATCTCCTTCTAGCACCTCAACTGCATGTGCTAAACTGCATGTTTAAAGGACTGTTCCCTCCACCCACAATGCTACTGATGCCATTTGGAGTAAATGGATTGCACTGATTATGTGATGAGCTCAAATTGGGAACCTCAGTCATTCAGGAATCCTAGAGGTGATCACTGACTGGCCTAAGGGTAAAAAGTTTGAAACATCACTAGCAGAAGTACTGTGTGCTAAAGAGGCCCCACCATACAATGAACTACCAGAGAATGAAAAGAAATATGCCCCGTTTACAGATGGATCATGTCTATTGTGGGGAAGCATCACAGATGGAAAGCTGCTGTTTGGAGCCCTACACAACAAGTTGCAGAGGCCACTGAAGGAAAAGGAGAATCAAGACAATTTGCAGAGGTAAAGGCTGTCCAACTGGCCTCAGATGTTGCTGAACAGGAGGTGACCAATGCTTTATCTTTACACTGACTCATGGATGGTAGCAAATGCTGTATGTGGTTACAGCAGTAGGAACAAAACAACTGTCAATGAAGTGGTAGATGTATTTGGGCTGCTGAACTGTGGAAAGACATTTCTGCCTAAATAAAGAGTATGGGCACCAAGGAAGAGATACAACATATTAGTGGGCTAGAGATCAAGAGGTGGACTTAACACAGTTATTTATAATTTCACAGATTATTAATGACTGTGAAACACATGTGGCAATTAAACAAGCCAAGAGGATGAAACTTCTCTAGGGGGAAGGGCCATGGCAAAAGTATAAATATGGGGAGCCATGACAGGCTGATTTTATCACCTTGTCACAAACCTGAGATGGTAAATGTTATGTGCTTACCATGGTGAAGGCAACCACTGGGTAGCTTGAAGCATGCAGTATCCCATGTTATCACCCAAAACATCATACTCGCTCTCTAGAAACAAGTTCTGAGGCAACATGCTGCTTCAGAAAGAATTGAGTCAGACAATGGGACTCATTACAAAAATTCTCTTGTAAATACTTGGGCCAAAGAGCATGGCATTGAGTGGATTTATCATATCCCCTATCATTCACCAGCTTCTGGTAAAATCAAGTGATGCAATGGATTGTTAAAAACTATGTTAAAAGCAATGGGTGGTGGAATATTTAAGCAGAGGGAGAAGATACCTGGTTGGTCAACACTCAAGGATCTATCAATTGTGATGGCCCTGCCTAAACCAGCTCCCTGCATACTGTAAAGGGAGATAAGTCCCTGTAGTACATGTAAAAAGCATGTTGGAGAAAGCAGTTTGGGTCTCTCAAGCTTCTGTTTACTCAGGGACCTGGGTCTACTTGGTGGGTGATGCAGAAAAATGGGAACGTTCAATGTGTACCACAAGGGAATTTGATGTTGGGTGCATACAATCTTCAATTCCATGTAAATATATGTATATATATGAGTGTGTACATATGTTTATTGTTTGTTACTTACATAATATTTGTTTGTTTGTACATATTAAGCATGATGTAGTGATGTGGAATAAGGAGTGGAATGCCATGGTTTTGTGGCTTTTGTTATCGGTATTCTACATCATAACATCATGTAGTGCATTGGGAATTAAAGAGTTAATGCTCCAGTTCCATAGATCATGGATAGTTCTGGGTACCTCATTTTCAGAAGAGAACTACACACTACATACTACCCTTTTTCCCCCTTTTTCCTTTCCTGGGGCATGGGTCCCCCCACCCCACTAGTCATGGAACTGGGCCAAAAAAGCAGCCTGTAAAACATTGACAGGCATGTATAAAATAGTTCATGTAATTTATTTCTGATGATTCCTAATTTGGGGTTACAGCAACAGCTTTAAATTCTAGGATGTTCAGCAGTGATCAGCAGTAACAAGGTTTATGATTAGCTTCTTAAATGAGTATGAGATACCTCAGGAACAGTACATGTAATACATGATTCTCCTATTGGTTATCATTAAACCAGAGAAGGTATAGAGATAGGCTTGGCTCTGATGCAGGGTCACAGCCAGGCTTCTGCTTGCCATTGTTTATGCTTCCTGCATGTCCATCTTACACAACATGATGTCCATTACCCATCGTGCACCCAGTACCATTCAGGATACACAATTTTCTCCCTCTTACCTCAATGTCCTTCTCAATCTCCAGTCCAGCTGCCACGAGATTGCATTCATACTCTTCCCTCTGCAGTCGTTTTTCCTCCTCCAGGGTGTCCAGTGGGTCCAGCTCAATCACTTGAGCCTCCTGAGGGGTATGCTGGCCATTGTCTTGCTGCAGATTGAGGCCACCCTTCTTGGTCTCTCCATTTGAAACAATGGCCATGGAGGCTGCCCTGTGTATTGGTCCTGGTGATCCAGCCCCAGGACTGTGCTGGGTGAGGCGTTTCCGGTAGTGGTAGACTAAAACATAATCAACCTTTCTGTTGCTATCACTGAAGTGCATGCCACTCATGGAGTCCATGGCCTCTCTTTGGGTCCCGTCCAGGTAATTGTTTATAATCTGGGATGGAAATACATGGATGGAAAACCAAAAAGTCCAAGGAGACGCCAGACCTTGGGTCTGAATTTACACAGGTATTTAAAAGTACTAGTTGAGCAGAGTAAAAATTGGAGATTGAGAATACAAATGAGCTATAAACTTGTTACCCTATTGTTCAGATTAGGTCATGTTGACATCCTCTGACTGCAAACATATAGGAGTGCCTAAATATAGCAGCTTTATCTTGCTCCTTGAAATGTACAAGATAGCTACCCCTCTGATGTGCTGGTATGGTCAGGTATGTCTGCACTGTCTCTTTGGCCTCTGTATAAACAGGACATAGGAGGCTACATCAGCATTTTAAAATGGGATTGAAGTTTGATAAAAAAGAATCACATTACAGTTCATGACATAGGAAAGGATGAACTGGGGAAGAAAGTTGGACAGGGAAAAGAATCAGACAAATTTGTGCAAGAAGGAAAAGAAAAAACTGATTCAAGGCAGAACATGAAAATGTTCCTCCAAGTAGTGCTAGGGCAAGAAGGGCAGAGCTGGACACAGATTATTTGGCAAATACCAGGGATTAGAGAGAAAATACAGTTGATGTGTATTTTAATAAGAGAAGAGTATGTGACTGAACAGCAGCACTGCGAAAGAAAATCAACGACTAAATCAATGACATTAAGATCACTTACGTTCTACTCAACTGTGTACTGCCTCTGCCATCTTCTCCCCTCTGTACAAATCCTGGCATGGAACTACTTCTGTTCTAACCCCACCCCCTGCAGAGACAGCAAATCTGATGTACATTTGTTGAACACTGAAATTAGATTTTAGGCATTAACTTCCAATTCTTTCACTAAGGTAGCTTGTATATCTTTCAAATTTTTAACAACCACCACATCCTGCTCAATGCTGTATCTTAAAACCCTTCACCTAACTCTCTACAGTGCCATTCATTACCATGACAACAGCTCTCCTGGGACTGGGGAACTACATAAAAGCAAATAAATAGAGTCACACTAATTCAGATCAATCAACCCATAAATCCAGCTTTTTATGGCTCCCACAGGTTTCTATACAAGTAAAATACTGACAAGTACTGTTAAAAATTCCTTTCTCTTCCCTACCTCCCATTCTATTACATGTAGTGGTAGCACTTCAAAGTTAACCAAACTTACTTTTTGCAGTCATTTGTTAACACAACACGAATACTTCAAGACATTATATAAATGCACATGTTGCTAATATCGCCCAAAAACCTGATTTTCATTGTTTCCCTTCACATCTCAGTTTCCCACAAAGCAGCTTTCAATCACCATATCTCTAAATATTTTTTTTAATGTGCACACTCCATCCTTTCTTTCCTGAAATTATCACCAGATAATCTGTTGCACACATTACACTTATCTCAAACTTATGTGTACTGCATTAAGACAGTCCCTCTAGGCACATATAAATTTACACTCAGCAATGCATTCTGACAGAATATAAATCTGCTTGGGAGATAGCATTTTACTGCAATTCCCCGTGTCCTTGTTCGATTCATTTTCATAAAGTACTCACAGGCAGTCCACGCAAAACTTCTGGATCCATCTCTGCCACAATGAAGAAAAATATGTTCCCTTCCAGTTTCACACAGTACAACACAGAAGTGATGATGTCACTACCTCCTGCTTACTGGCACAATGCAATGTTTAGCTGTATCTAGAGAAGATGAACTCTAAACACTGGCTCCTCCCTTATGGGCAAGTGCAAGCAGAAATGAGATTCGCCAAAAAAAAACACAGGAGAAGGAACAAGGAAGTTAAAGAACATGGAAAGTCGCTAGCAGATTTTCTTGTTTATTACCTGTGTGCAGTCAGCTGCCACATCCCAGTCACGTGACAGATCACCATAGCAACATTAGGTGTTGCTGGAGTTACACAAAATAAAAGGATGAGGAGATACCATTGTGCCCTTTTCCTCCTCTCCCTCTCCTGTTGACTCTTGATGCTTCCTTACTACAGACTTTTGGCAGCAAAATGCCATCCCAATTACTGCAGGTTTCTATTGCTAAGAGAACAGGACAAAATTCCCATAAATTTTTGTCAAATATTTTTTTTTGCTCTAAATTCGCACCACTTCACATGTTTGGCACAGGAAGACCTTATTAGAAAGAAGAACTTATCAAGTAAGTTGCAATTTGCAAAATTTCTGGAAGAGCCATCAAGATCTTTCTCATAGCCATTCTAGAAGTTAAGAGTGTTCTAAATTACTATTTTCAGTCCCAGATTCATTGCTTCATAATATTTCCAAGATAAGTAATTAGCACACCAAGCAAAAAGAATATGGGACGGTAGGGTCCACATTTAATGAGTTCTAATCCTCTAATAGAAAATATTATAACTACATACATACCTCAGGAGATCTCTCCTCTTACACTGGCTTTGATAGGAAGGCTGTAGCCACCCCAGTTCCAATCTTGCTCACATTAACACCTAGGTATGTGCTGACCCACACTTTGAAGAGGGATAGCCGATTCTGTCATCAACCTGCAAATCTGTTCCTTCACCAAGGTAATAGCAACCTCTCTATTCTTTTTCAAAAAATTTTGACTCCGGTAAATACTCAATAGAATCTTGGTGATACCACTGGAACACCCATTATTAAGACACAAATTACAATACAAGAACCTAGTGAACTATCTAAAGTTGTAGGATATGTCTACTAGCAGTCACTTTTCTCAGTACAGCTTGGTTTTGCCTAACAGAGAAGGAATGCATCATACTCTGCTCATCCTACTCCAAACCTTTTCTTCTTCCCAAAGTTATTAGAGTTATGTCAATGAACATAAAATCCTACTTACAGAACTGCAGTCAGTATCCACACAGCTAGGTGCTTCTAAAGATCCACTGATCCCGCTGCTGTGCAAGGAAGGCCTGTTTTGAGGAACTGTTAGGTATTTGCTGTTGTATCCCAAGAAATACCCTCTTGATGATGTTGCTGCCTTCTGCCTGTTCAGACTTGAGGAATGAGAATTGATTAGTGTTATATAAATAGGGCTTTTGTGCAGGTGGTTTCCTAAAGGAATAGGAAGTAGGACAATTAATGAACACTGTTAGACTTCAGATACTGAACTAGATGATTTAGAGAAGAATACCTACAACTGCAGAGGAATAGCAGATACTGCATTTAGTTCAGTACTATCCTGATTGTTCAGTATCATTGTACTCCTCCTTTAATCACAAAATTAGATCCTGGAAATTAAGTGTACTGCAACTAGCCACGGACCTCCCTCCTAAACATGAGGAAGCTGTATGTAGTGTGTTGTGATTGCATCAGGGCTCTCTGGGTGAACCATTCATGCTGCATGGAAACTAAATCACTAGAACTGAAGTGAGTCACATTTGCTTATGACTTAAAGCTAGTCTTGAAGGCGGCATGTTTCAGTTATAGTATAACATGATCAAAATCTAGTTCATTCAGATAGAAGATTCTGGCTAAGTCATTCTCTACTAAGAACTCAACTTCTGGAGTTATTCTGAGGGACTAATGTCATGAGAATTTTAGTTTTAGATGTGCTTCCCATCTCCAGTACAAAAGAATGCCATGGTCACAAGGCAGCACAATTGAAGGGGGGCAGTAGTTGCATGCCATTCCCTATGCACTACCAGTGTAATTAGTAACTGTATCTCTGCTGTACAGAATTGTACAATAACAATAGAGAAGAATAATTTTTGATTACAGGATTACAGGATTCAAATGCAGTCAACAGAGTCAGTAATATTATGCAAGAATAAAGGTAAAAAGTAATGGGTACAGAAACCTGTGTAATGTACTGATGTTTCATATTCTTTCCCCCTCTAGTGGTACCATAGCTGTAAATGAAAATCGCCTGGTTTTTTACCAATAATTTATTTGAGATGCTTATTGGGTTCAGGAGTTATGGCTTGGTCTTTCAAGTACTAGTGTATTCTACCAAAGAGATGACCCATTTGCTTCACGTGTCTAGCCCCACTCTTCTTACCTTTTTAGTAAACAATCCTAGCAATGAAATTCTTCTGCGTAAGGTGGGGAAAAAAAAAGAAATAAAAAAGCCAACAACAACAACAAAAAAAAAAACAAACAGATAATGTAGTTACTTTGCAGTCTAAGAGGAAATGTCCTATGGCATTTGCTACTCTGTGTTAGGAGCTGTGTCAGGATCCTTGTATCCCATAAGAAAGTGCTGGGAAATTCCAGCAGTTTCCTCCAGACCTTCCTTGTGGAGATTAGGCAGGCCTGAAGGCAGGAATAATTCTCACTCTCATTTAATGTTCATGAGACAGAACAGTCCTTCTTCTACACTGTTGAAACATCTAACTGGTGGCAGAATCAGTGAACCTAAACAGCATTTCAAAAGAGAAAGAACTGGAGAGAGAACTGTATGCAGGAAACCAACAGAGTTGTGTAGAGTTCATTTAATTAAAATAATTTAAGCAAAATCTAAAAGAATCATTCCTGAAGATGGTGATAACTAAACTCTGCATATTCCTCTTTTTTGGGATGGAGGGAGAAGAATTGCTAAAAAGTGTCCAGAAATCAGATTTTCCTCTTAATCTTTGAATTTCTTAAATTTTTCAACAGTCAAAGGCAGGCACTGTGTAATCTTCTATACCCTCAATACAGATTCTTTGTGGTTTTAGCTAGGGGCTGCAGCTGACTGGGGGTCAGCAGATACTGAGAAACTGATGTACATCACTTATTTTATATATATATATATATATATATATATATATGCACATACATAATTAGTGTTGTTACTGTTATTTCTCTCTTCCTTTTCTGTTGTCATGTGTACTTTTTTATCTCAGCTTACAAGTTCCACCTTTTTTCTTATGCTCTCCGCCATCCCACTGAGGAAGAGGAGAGAGTGAGTGAAGGCCTGTGTGGTGTTCAGTTGCTTGCTAGATTAAACCACAGCAATTGAAACTACTTACCTGCAATTGTGTGAAAAAGAGGCGTCAGTAAAATGATAAAGAAGGAAATGCTTGAGGGGTGGGGGTTTCCCCTGAAAGTCATGATTATTCTTATGTTTCCTGCTAGTAACAGATTAGTGTTCTGCAACATTTGAACCATGCAGCAGATTGGCTCACTAGTCTTCCTTTTCTGATTTCGCAAGGAGACTTAGTGTTTTAGTTCATTGGAGCACATAATGATGCTACAAGGGAAACTCAAAGGCAAATGATTAATTAGTGAAGCTTTCATTCCCAGGGGCTATGCAAAGTATTTTCAGTTTAAGTATGGAATATCTTACAAGAACTTTAAGCACAGTTGCTGAAAGACCTTTTTACTTCCTAGTCATTTTAGCTGGGTCAAGGGAAAAAAAACATATATATCCGCAACTCATTCATAATAAAATGATTTGATTTTTATTATGCTTCCCAGCCTTCACAAACTGTGTCACAAATGTGAGGTTAACACTGGTAAGTAGGTAAGACAGGCAGGGACTTTGATTCAGAATAACTTTTTAGACAAAACTGTAGATTCCATGTCAGAGTTTAGAAGATTCCCATTCACACAGAAAGTTTTCATCTTTCTGAATCAAACTAACTGAACCAAAATGATCTGAATGGCTTCCACATTTGACAGAGTGCTTGCCTATTGTACTAAGGCTCTTCAGGATATTGTGCTTTAGATGCTGCACAATATTTTACTCTGAGAGCCTTTATGATATCTGGCTTGTTTGTTCTCATTCTTTAAATATTGTAGAGGAATTGGTGTAAATAGAAAGATTCTTTTTTTCCTCCAAAAGAGTGGTCAGGCACTGGAACAGTCTGCCCACGGAGGTGGTTGTGTCACCATCCTTGGAGATGTTCAAGAAATGTTTAGATGTTGTACTAAATGGAGAAATATTGGAGGTAGGTAGGTGGTTGGACTATGGTTAGGGACTAGGTGACCTTGGAGGTCTTCTCCAACCTTGGGTATTCTATGATTCTAAGTTAGGTGTGTATACATGCACATACTCATTCATACATAAGCTTATGCATAACTTTGTGGTGTACATGTACACACACACACGAGAACACCACAGCTACTCCCCACAGAACAGTAGTAGAGTGTATCTTGAATTCCAACTGGAAAGCATACATTAAAGGTCTACACTCATTTTAGAAAAATATTATTTGAGTCTTCCCTTCAGTCAAATACCCTAAAATTTCAAATGGCTTCCAAGGACAAGGTACTCCCACAACAGAGTTCAGGGAAGACATTTAGCAAGCAATTAGCTCTAGTTTCAACATGTGAGAGGTAGATTGTGCTTTTGCAGTATAAGTTTCCAGTATTTCTGTATGTAGTGTAGGATAAGTTGTTTTTCACAAAGAAAGCTGCTGAACAGAGTAAAGTTGAGATTGAGGCATTCTCACCTGGGTAGAATTGGCAAAAGCACAAGCTAAGGTAAATATGCGGGACAGGGAGAGCCTAGTGCATACTGAGCTTACCTACAAGGATATTATGGGAAACAATGTCAAATGCCTTTCCTGAAGTCAAGTTACACAATACCCACTGCTATCCTCTTATCTACACAGCTGGTGTATCACAGAAGGCTATAGGATTGATAAAATACGATTTCCCCTTGGTGAATTCATGTTGACTTCTCCTGATTACCTTATTTTACACTAATTTCCCAAAAATAGCATCCTGAACAAGTTGTAATGGAACAACAACCTCTGGGACAAGGGTGAGGCAGACTGTCCTGTACTTGCTGGGATCCTCCTTCTTCACGTTATTGAAGGATGGAGTGACAATGGCTATCCCTCCAGACTTCAGGGACCTCTCCTGATGATAGAAAGAGTCTTAGCAATCACTCTTACCAGCTCTCTCAGAACACAAAGGCGCATCTTATAGGGACCCATGGAGTTAATTGCATTCATTTTGGCTGTAAATTCTCTGACCAGATCCTCCTCAACCAAGTAGAAGTCTTCCTTTCTCCAGACTCTCTATTATCTCCAGGGCCTGGGATTCTCAAGGGACAGCCTTGCACATAAAGGCTGCATCAAAGAAGATGTTCAGTAGCTATGCCTTCTCAACACACCCTGCAACATTCCACAGCAGACCCATATTTTCCCTACTCTGCCTTCTCCCTCAAAGATATTTTTTGTGGTTGCTGTCTACAGTTTGAGAAGCTCTCCATAAACACCTAATCTGCAGCCTGCAACTCTAGATCTCTTGTCTTTTGGTAGAAACCAGAAGTAGCAAATCTGAAAAATGATGTCTTCTGTCTCTAGTTCCCACCTCTTCCTCCTACCTGTGACAGTGTTTCCTCCTTTGGTCTGGCTGTTGCTCTTAAGGCCTAGCTCATGTTGATAATGAGGCCAGTATTTGGTTACGCTCAAAGCCTTACTCTTGATAGATGGTGACCATAATTCTGGATCAAGCTAGGTGCTGAAATAACTGATGGAGGACACCTGGTTCAACATCTAAGCACTAACTGAGCATGCAGGATGTACATAAACCTAGAACACTGATATCTGTACGAGTGATCAAGCCTACAGAGATATTTTCGGAAAACATGCAAGACAAGTAATAGTGTCACCTCTTCAACTCCACAGAGATATGTGTTGTGATATGACAATGAAGGAAAGGAAAGAGTAGGAAAAAAGAGAGTAAATATACCTGCATATAATCTGAACTTCAAGGAAAAAAAAAAAAATACAATGCTCCAAATATATCAGGATTACCTCAAAAGCAGAGAAACACAGACTATCCTGAGTTGGAAGAGACTCATGGGGATTATCAAATTTAACTCCTGGCTACACATCGGAACATCCAAGAATCAAGCCATACCTTCAAAACTGTCATTGTTAATTCATGTATTCCACTACACCATTCACAAACACCGTTTGTAAAGAAGTAGTGATAAGAATAACCTGGAAAGAGACATCAGTCTATTCAAAAGACGTGG